GCCAAAAAAGGTAAGAAGGAACCAAAGGATAAAGGATCAGTCTCAGAATCCGAAGGTGAAAAAGCTGGTGAGAAGAAAGAGGCCAAAAAAGGTAAAAAGGAGACAAAGGATAAACTGTTACTCTCAGAGTCTGAAGGTGAAAAACCTGGCCAGAAGAAAGATGCCAAAAAAGGTAAGAAGGAACCAAAGGATAAAGGATCAGTCTCAGAATCCGAAGGTGAAAAGGCTGGTGAGAAGAAAGAGGCCAAAAAAGGTAAAAAGGAGACAAAGGATAAACTGTTACTCTCAGAGTCTAAAGGTGAAAAGGCTGGTGAGAAGAAAGAGGCCAAGAAAGGTAAAAAGGAACCAAAGGATAAAGGGTCAGTCTCAGAATCTGAAGCTGAAAAGGCTGCTGAGAAGAAAGATGCCAAAAAAGATAAAAAAGGGACAAAGGAAAAGGAGAAAGCATCCTCAGAATCTGAAAGTGAAAAGCCTGGTGGGAAGAAAGAAGCCAAAAAAGATAAAAAAGGGACAAAGGAAAAGGAGAAAGCATCCTCAGAATCTGAAAGTGAAAAGCCTGGTGGGAAGAAAGAAGCCGAAAAAGGAAAGAAGGAGCCAAAGAGTTCCAAAGTTACACCTGCAGATTCAGAAGCTGACAAGCCTGGTGAAAAGAAAGGAAACAAACTTACTAAAAAGCCTTCAAAGATCAAAGAGACACCTGTAGATTCTGAGAGTGAGAAGGGAGGTTTAAAGAAAGAGGGCAAGAAAGAAATCAAGAAGAAGGAGTCTAAAAAGGAAAAGAAGGCAGGAGATTCAAAGGAAGATGCTAAGAAAGACAAAAAAGACAAGAAGAAAGACAAGAAAGACTCTGCAGGTGATTCCCCTGATTCAAAGAAGGAGGAAAAGAAGGCAAAGAAAGAGAAGAAGGGAAAGTAGGTCTTGGATGAGAACTCAAACTGTACGTAGAACTCCAAAGTATATTCAGTGAACCAACCTCAGTAGTCATAGAATGAGCCCATGAGATAGAAGAAGAGTGCAGTAAATTAATCAAATAAGTTTTAGAGAAGAGAAAACACAATGTGAAATAAAAATATAGCCAGTGTTAGGAAAACAAAAGGACTAAGAAAAATACATAGGATTCATTGAACAACGTGGAAGATACCTATTCTAAAATTATAGCTACGGAGTTTTAAAAGTAAAATCACTAGAAACATTCATGAATGCACAAATAAACATCCAGAAAACATAGAGAAAAAAAAAACAGTATTCAGTAAGGACTTTGCTGAAAAGAAAGAAAGAAAGAAAGAAAGAAAGAAAGAAAGAAAGAAAGAGAAAGAAAGAAGAAAGAGAAGAACTCCAAGAACGCTTGATGCTGTCTCTAGATTTAATGATGTAAAGCTAAGTTGAGTTTGCACAATTAAAGAAACGAGATGGCCAAGAAAATCAATGTTTAGAAACTAGAGTTTGAGCTGAATAAATATTCAAGATGGTTTTAGGAAGAAAACACAGAGGAGGACGGGAGTAAGGGAGTGAGTAAAAAGGCAGGAAGGGAAAGACTTAAAAAAAAAAAAAAGACGACAGGCAAGAACCATCAATCTAGGAAGAAGACAAAGAAAACCTTGAGTTTGCAGGACTGTCAGAGTTTAAAGTGACCACAAGATTGAACCACTTCTAATTCCTGATGGACGATCTTGGTAAGTTAGATTTGTGTTATTTTAATCCAAATTGGATTTAAAATAATTTATCCAACTGCTAGCTTAAACCTGATACTTAAGGTTCTTATACTCAACTGTTATTTTTATTTTAGATTTTTATTTTATGATATTTGGATCTTCTAGTTATAAGAAATGCATGCCTATCATCGAACATATGGCTTATTTTAAAATGTCCATTTAAAGGTTAAGAGAAACGCAAATCATTTTGGTACAGAGAGATTGTGACCTTAAAGTTACAATAGCATGTTCTAATAGAAGAAATCGTGCCACCTTTCTTTTTAAAGCTGCAAAAAGGTTATCAAAACTCTTCATATAGTTTAATTCAGCAGCTGGGTGACTTTGTCTTAGCATCTTTACTTTTCTACCCCTATCATTTCTGTTATTACATCTACTCTTGAAGCTTTATGTCAGTTAATCCTATATTTTGAACCAGTACTGACTATCTATAACTGCTCAACAATGCCCTGATTATTTCTATTTGGTAGTTCCTAATACAACAACTATGTAGCTATTCAAATTTTTCTGTGAAGATTTATTTTGAAGGTAAACATATGCCTTCATATTCACATACATATATACCAATATGCTTACAATAGAAACTGCCAAACTTCCAAAGAGCTTATAACATTTTGTATTCATAGCATTTTGTTATCACCACACTACTGTAGACAGAAGTTTCTGACCTGCCCAGTCCCGTAGCTATTCAGTCCCACAGAACACATGAAAGCTTATATTAACTATAAACTGTTTGCCCTATTAGCTCAGTCTCATCATTAACTAAGTCTTACAACTTAAAATAACCCATAATTTTTGTCTATGTTTAGTCACTTGGCTTGCGACCGTTTCTTAGTAAAGTATTCTCATCTTGTTTTCGCTGTGTCTGGCTAGTGACTTCCTCTCTGCCTTTCCTCTTCCCAGAATTCTTTTAGTCGGGTCATCTTGCTTGTACTTCCTGCCTGGCTATTGGCCAATCAGTACTTTCTTAAACTAATAAGAGTGACAATTCTAACAGTGTACAAGTGTATTATATCCCGTAGCACTTTGCCTTTCTTCACTGCTGTCCATTTGCTATTATTTTGTTCATCCAGATAAAGATGTACTCGTATTTCCTTGCCCCATTTTGGGATTTTCTCATCAGGTATTCTCTGGAAGATTTTACATTTTGCTTTTGGGATTATACATAGAAGTCTTTGCCAAGATCCTTGTTCAAAACGTTCCCTTTGCTTTTTCTTATTATGATTTTGTAGCTTTCAGGCACTAAATTTAAGTCTTTTATTCACTTTAAGTATATATATATATATATATATATATATATATATATGAATTGAGAAAATTATCTGATTCCTCTCTTGTGCATATGGATCTCCAGTTTATCAATCAGTTTATTAAAAAGGTGATCTTTTTTTGTATACCTATGGCATTGATATAAATGATTGTTGACTATACAACTGTATTGCAAACTCGGTGTTCAGTGTTCTGATGGGTCCAATGTTGGTTTGAGTGATAATTTCCCTCAGAGGGATCTGAATTTGAATACTTGCCCCCAATTGATGGTGCTGATTTGGAGGTTTGGGAGGTTTGGATTTTCTGGAGGAAGTGTGCCACCAGGGTTGGGTTTTGAGAATTTAAAGACTTGAGTCAATTCTAGTCTGTTCTCTCCTATTCATCAAATCTGATTTAATTTTATGTATGATATAAGTGTCCAATTTAACTCTTTGGCACAATAATATGTAGTTCTCCCAGTTATTTTTATTGAAATATTCATTTTTTTTTCTATTGTACTTCTGTCAACTTTCTAAAAAAGCTATTAGACAAGATTACAAAGGTTTACATCTGCTCCTCTAACCTTTCCTATAACTTCATGTGTCCATTTTTATATAAATATCATGCCATTTTAATTATTATAGGCTTTTAATAATGTATAATTTTGGGTATTAGAGTAAACACAGCTGTGATCCTTTTGCTAAAGATGTCATTGTTTTTTTCTTTTATTCCTGTTTGTATTATTTTAACTTGAGAGGAATTGTTTTGCAGTTCAGGCTGTCTTCATTCCTATGACCTTAATGACTAGCCCCAAGTACTAGAATTACATGCAAGCACTGACATGTCTGATACTAGCCATCATTTTTTAGTTCCTTAATACATGATCTAAAAATTACACTTGTGAACTAATACTCTGACACCTTTTAAATTAGTACATCAGAAAAGGACCTGGATTTGTTTCTTCGTACAAAGGTCTTGAAGCTCACAGCTGACTAAATTTTGGGTCAAGGGGATCTAATACCATGTTCTTTAGTCCTTGAATTCTTGTATTCATGTGTACATACAGGCACAAGGACATAGATAATGCAATATTCCAAATAAATCTTCATTATCTTCCTTCTATGAAAAGAATCTATAACTCAGAAGAGAATCCAAATAATGGAGGTTATCAAACAAAGGAATACGAAATTTGGCCAAGGCAGCAAATATCTATTTAGACTACTTATCTGCATAGTACCTCTAATAAGTAGTACTGAGAGAATATTTAAATGTACTCACCAAACACAGACTCACGCATACTACACATGCACGTATGCGTGTGTAAGTGCGCGCACGCACACACACACACACTATTAACCACTTAGTACATCCATACACATATATGTATATGTTAGCATGCTAACTGGTTAATTTGCCTACTTAATTATGAAGCAAAATATCTGTTGTGTTTTAAATTATAAATAAGTTAAATTATATTTTACTAACTTGTGATTATAACAAAAATAAAACATAATCCCTAGGATTCATATGTAACTATACATTTGTATATAAGTGTTCATTAGTTCTTGTTTTGGCACTTTTGTAACTTTTGTAGATATTTTTAAAAAATTAATCACTCACCCATACGCTGTAGTATAATTATATGTAGCTATACTACATATAATTCATATGCATTATATTTGTTAGTCTATATCTTATACTTACAATGACTTGCCAATATCATGATTGTGTGGTATATATTAAATATATGAAGTAAAATGCAATTGAAATAAAGTATCTCTTTTAAATGTTTTGAACATATCTTATAACTAATTTGTTTTCTTGCCAAAACCATAGAGAAACCCTGTCTCGAAAAACCAAAAAAAAAAAAATTAAAAATATTATAGTACATTATTACCATTAGTCAACTTTAATGCGAGTATTAGGGAACATTAGAAAATAAAGATGATATTTAGAAAAGGGGCCCATGGTTATGACAACAGGAACAATCAGTTCTAATTTAGAAGGAAGTTGCATTTAAAAGCTTAACTTGTGTGTTTGGTTTTAGCCTAGCCTTTAATGCCCTCGCAATCTCTTTTCTGAAGGGAAAAGGGGGGGAAGTGGATCTCAGGAAGGTGGGAGGTGGTGGGGAGTAGAACTGGGAGGAGTAAAGGGAGGAGATAACGTAGTTGGGAGGTAAGAAATGAGAGAAGAATAAATTAAAATAAAAAAGGTTTAACTTTTCTTGTATTTACTGAGTTTGAGGTCATCCTTAGCCAATAACATTCTATTGTTCGAAGAATAAGGAAAAATGAGGATACTAAAATGAACGAGATATCACCAGCTCTGCAAACGAAAAGCAACAACAACAGAAATTAATAACATCATTTGAGAAGTACAGCAATTCCCTGGCGGGAGAGATGTAAAGTTTTATTCAAAATCTATGGTATGTACTGAATTTAACTATATTTACTGATTGCAACATCCAGGTTAGCTTATTACTGATGTCCTTCCTGACTTTTGCTCACTAAAATTTCCTTCCAGTCTTTGTAGAAATGTATTGATTTCTGAGAGGAGTTGAAATGTCTGTAAGAGACTATCAGTTCAGTTGTGTGGAATTAAAATTGTGGCTTAGTATCAATACTATGGGAAGGAATTCAGTATGATGAAATCCTTTGCATGGGAGATTTGTATTATGACTGAAATTAATTTCTAAGACTATTGAGAGTGAGAAACAGTCACTGACTTTTTCCATCAATATCTGTCTGCATATACTAGTAGAACTAGAAATAGCAGCAATATTCCTGTATCTAAATTTTTATTTCTAGCTCTCAGAATGTATCTCCCATTTATGAGAGGGGGCTGAGTTGCTTAATTTTAGGCATTTTGAAAGGCTAACATAATAATATTTCATAAAAGAGAATAAATGCATTCAACCAGAAAAAACATTACACAAAGAAAGAAGAAAATTTGATCTAT